AACAGCAGGGACATTTGTTGGCGCTGACCGCACGTATATCGCGGGCAACGCATGAAAGTTGACGTTTTTCATAAAAAGGCGGGAATGAAAGACTCTTGAAAATGCCTCACTTTTTGTTCAAAATCAAAAGATATTTGAGAAAATTCTATCAAAAACAACGAAAGAATGGGGTCTTTTGTTTACAACGTGCTTGTTTTTAAGCGAAAATAATGTCTTATTTGAAAATGAGAAGCGATCTTCCACACAGGACACGAACGGCTGAACATTTTATGAAACCAAACCATATCATGAAAAGTCAAATTTCTCAACAGTGAGATCAAAAAAGCCATCCATATCTGGTGTATTTTGTCACAGGGAGTCATGAAACTGGATAAACATGTTAAAATTTATAAAGACTGAAATGATCAAGATCTAATGTGTCTGAGATTATGCGATTCACGTTAGATGGCATGTTTTTGTATAGATGACAAGCAAACAGAAATTTCTTGGTAATTTATAAACGAAGCGAGTTGAARTCCAADATTTWCATTGYMAGAMGTTGTATTAATTACCTGATGCAATTTGGCCGACATCAATATGGAAGTTGTTAGTGAAGTTTCATCATTTTTGGTTCTTTCAATTTTGAATAACACACCAGGACTTTTGTCGTAGGTCGTGKCCAGAACAAATAAACAACTGGACGAAGCCTTGTTTATATAACTTTCAGATTTTATTTAAATCAAGTCAATGAARATTGCGTGGCATACATTTCTAGCTCACTGTTTTAAGGGCGTGTGCAAAAATGTTGATGTTGACACGTCGCACGTTTTTGGTCATAATGTCGGAAATAAACATCTCCAAAAGCCAGAACTTTCAATGTATTTTTTCCATCTCTCGAGCAAATAAAAACAATTAGAAAGTGTAAGACTTCCGACCAAGAATTCGGAATAAGCCTCAATCGAAAGGTTTTTCTCTTTTTTCTAGAGTTCAATATGTCGGGCCAACTGGTTTAAAACTATTTCTTGAAAAACCGGGGACGTGCCCAGAGCGGAAACCTACCTAAATTAAAATCTTATGTAATTCTAAAAAGAATAGAATTGTAATTTCGCCTTTGAAAATTGCGTGGATATCTCAAATCAACGTACAAAGACGTGCGAATTTTAGTAAAAAATTCCACCTTCGAGTAGAAWAATTTAATCACTGCTTGTATTTATGCCGAAACAAGTTCTTAAACTTACCCTAAATTGGACTATTTTTGCACAGTTTCATCTACATACAAAACGTCTTCTTTCATTATTCATGGGAARAGTARAACACACGCAAATGAATACAAAAGAGAGGACACCAGCTCTCAACATAGCCTTCGCCATGTTTACTTACATATTCAAAGTTTCCCGCCAGGCACAGGTATACCGCGCGTTATGTATTCTATTTGACTCACGCATGCGCAGACAAATGTCCCTGCTGTTGTCGGGTCGCAGTTTCCAGTCTCTCTCGAACCACAGGAAGCCTATTAGTTTGCAGTCTCTCTCGAACTGAAAATTTTCTCAAGAATCCAAAATGGCGGGTACTTCGCCGATAACAGAGAAAAAAGTACTCAAAAACTATCAACAAGAAATACCAAAAGCTTTCTCATTGAAGAATTGAACTAGGATTTTGCATTTGTGAAGTTTCAAGCTTGCTAGTTATCATTTTAAGACGATTTTGCATCGAAAATAGTCTCGCCTTCCTCACCAGTACTGCAGTCCAGCTCGATGATTATTCAGTACAGCTTCAACATGAAATCAGCTAAAATACTGGCTTTTTTTTCCACATTTATAGACAGCAAAAGATATTCTTCTGTAATTGACAATGTTTTTATTGTTTAAATTCAAAGAAATTGCTNATATTCATTGGAGATACAATCTTTATCTTGTATTGTGAATCTTTTGCTAAGCTAGCACGCATCACGCTTTACAAGCGTCTAGTTATATATTCAATCTTATGTAAATATGCGTGGTTATTCATGCATGCCGTTGCATAAATATCACAAAAATTCAGGTTCACTCAAGCGAATTGGTCTCGTGGCTTAATGGTTAGGTTTAGGGAATAGACCCCTTGCATGTGACGTCAAAGCAGCTTCATCTGGAGGACAAAAGAAAAGATTTTTAACCTCTTGGGAACTAGAATCCATTGTTTTGTCCTCCAGTTGCAGCTGCATTCCCATGAACTGCAATAGGGGTCTATATATCGGGTTAGGCAATGCATAGCGCTGGTTCGAATCTTAGTATTCCTTCTTCAAAAATTTCTTTTCGATTTAAGTTTAAGTGTTTGAAATTTTCTAAGTTCTTCTCCACATAATTGGGACATCAGAGACTTCTACGAGCACATCACATGACATCAGCGTCTTCTATGTGCACATCAGGGCTGTACATGCACAACCATATAATACGGAAGTCGTACGACAAAACCTTCTCCTCAAGTTATAAATAATGATTAATTAAACATGAGTTTTATAACTAACCGATTCAGTTAGTTATAACACTCATGCATAAAACATCAGTGTTGTAACTGATTTACAGACACTCGATGTGTGCCCAACACTAGAAAAGTTCTCAGTTTTAGACTCTCATCATGGAACTTCACTAGGTCTCGAGTTAAAATGACTTATTTGCAGAGTCACAATGCACTAAAACATAGTGGCGCTTGGATGTGGGAAACCAAGTTGATAACTGCTCATGCTCAGATGGAGATATCTTCATCAATTATTCATTTTTGATTTTTTTTTTAATTATTTCATGTTTATTGTAGTTTCTTAGGTTTGGGTTTTAGAAGTCATTTAAAAAACTCGTAGTTCGTGTTTTATCGTGGATATAAATACTCGGCCTTCGGCCTCGTGTTCATGTCGTGTGTATATCTCACGATAAAACACTCCTACTCGTTTTTTAAATATCACATAGAACCGCTCTTGGCTGTTCACTGCAATCGGTTGACATCCTGCATTGGTCAATGATCATCAGGTTTCAAACCTGAGACCTTTGCTAGGGTCATGGACCTTTATATCTGATATATATAAAGAATACTAATAAGGAGTGTTTTATCAGATATAAAGGTCCATGCATGTGAAATAAAATAGGCTCATTCTATTGGCCTAATAACTCATTAATTATGTATGAGTTTTTGAAGGATGAGTGTTATAACTAACTGACTTGGTTTATAGTTATAAAACTCATGTTTAATTAATCAGTGTTTGTATTTTGAGTTATAGATTCCGTCATGTGACCCATAGTTTAAGGCTTATTGGAAGAATGTGTTATGAATAATTCATAAGTTTTGTATCAAATATTACAACACTCTTCACGGTTGCGATTCCTATTTTGTTTTCCTCATTAATTATTCATGATATTACAACCAAGGAAATAAGTACATTTTAATTTTAATAATGTAAAAGGATAATTCTAGGAGAGTAGGATTGAAATCAAAATAGGATACTTACTGTATTCTGTACAATTTTCCAGCTCTCATGGGATCACCAAATATGCCCATCGTCGATAGAATTTTAAATCGCTGAAATCGATAAACAAAATATCCACCACAATTTCGCACTTTGATCGACAGTTTCAAAACAACAATTCTTTTTTTTCACGAAAGCATATTGTTCTGTTGACTCGTCCTTGGGATATACTTGGCATTGACCCGTTGATCCAGCCTTGGAATTCTGCGTAACAGGAATACACTGATGTATTAGCACACTCCGTAGCAATTTGATTACCCGCCAGTCCTGTTATACGATACCACGAGTTAGATGAAAGTGTGCTGTCGTCTGACAGTTGTCTTCCAGATTGGGCTATTTGGTCTTTTCTACGACCAAGAGAATAGTCAAATTGGTATATTCAAGACATTCTTTGCCTATTTTGGCATCTGAATAATGAATTATGATTAAACTGTTAGTTAAAAATGAATTTTTTTGGCAGGGAGCTTCAGACAAAAAAAGATATCTTTAAATAGCATATCGTCAGAGCGAGGCTTGTGTCCGTGTGAGACAGTAAAAACAATGGATTAAAGTATCATAACCACCCGCCGTACCTTGCGAACCGAAGCGCCATTTTAGATGGACACGAAAATGGCGGATTTGTAGGATTTCTTAAAGTGACCGCAAATCGTCTTCCGTCCTTTCGGTTTGGACAGAAATACCTTTAACTAAGTACCTCACAGGTACTATCAATCTATAATTTATTGTACGCTTGACGCATTTAAACGTATGTAAACAATAATACGAGCGCGCAAGTTACGACGGGTGGTTATGATTCTTTAAAGGAAAGAAAGAAATGGTGACGAACTTTTACATGTTGTCATTACAGACAGTCTTTTAATTATTTCGGTTTTAAACTATTCATTTCTACCTACCCGGAATGTTTTAGCATTGGTACTTCGAGTATGACATGTCATCTACTGAGAGTGACGCATACGTGTTTCTGTCAATTTTGCCTTGATTTTGTATAGAAAATATACTTTAGCTTGTGTTGGTGACACTGGAAAGAAACTCACTGAGCACACTCGGACGTCACACCGTAGCTATGGGCAACTTAAGATTTTTGTATTTTTATGACAATTTTTTGAGTCTTGCACAAAATCGGAAAAGTTATAAAAATACTTATTTTCAACATATATTTCCCTTTTATATGTACGAGCTACAAAATGCCTTCACGTTCAAAAAATGGGAGATTTACTAAATAATGCTAAAGAATTAATGAGGCGAAAAAGATTAGCAGAAAAAAGTCTCTCGCAATTCAAGATGGCTAAGTAGCAAAGTCTCAGATTTCGTGACGAAATATCTCGACAACGAACCCGGTAACCCCAATTTCCATTTATCTTAAAAGAAGGCTACTTGGAAAAATATAACATATGTGATAGCGGAAAAAATGACATCAGAGGCTTCTGAAATATAGCAGTTTTTTAGCTGGAAATGACCCCTTTCCTTGACATCAAATGTCGCGGCTTGACACGGACAAAAATCCTAAAGAAATCAAAAATCACATCATGTGATGTTTCAAATTCTCGTAAACAAATCGACCTAAGCTTGTGGGGAAAATTTGGGATCAATTGATATTTATTTTATATTTTTTTTTCCTTTTTTGGCAGACAACATCGACCCTTTTCCGCGCGCGTTTCTTTGCCAATTTTGGCGATTTTGTGCAAGAATTATATCACTAAAATGAAGCCGGTGATCTCCATTTGTTATCGCTTTTTTGCAAGTGTATGTTATCGCGTATTATCGAAGTGACATCACGGAGTCAAATGCCCACGAACATCCTTAGCTGCCTTTTTGTTTCTTTGGCATACGCATGCGCAGTGCGTTTCTCCATAGTGCCTATGTTGGTCAGCAATGTAATAAGCAATAAACGCTGTCGTCGCCAGGACACAATCCACAGTCTTGAGCCTACAAATAATCTCGGGATTTCCATGCGTAATTAAAATACTCAAAATATAAATTGGCATGCGTAGTTTGAATACTCCAGTTTCAAATTCAAAGCGAATAACCGCTGTTTTACTTGACAGCAGATTCTATTACGCAAAGAACTTACCAAAGACAAAAGAAAGCACGAGAAAATGTTGCTAATATAATAGAGCGCTAAGAATCTACATTTTCCCCGAGTTGAGGCTAACCCTGCTCATACCTTAGGTCTTATGGGAATACAGGGATAATCTCAAGTCGGAGAAAATGCAAATTTTCAAGTCTATTGTAATAACGACATTTTCTCGTGCTCTCTTTTGTGTTTGTAAGGTCTTTGCGCAAGAGAATCTGTTGTCAAATAAAGCAGCGGTTATTCGCTATGAATTCGAAACTGGAGTATTCAATGGCGGCAGACACTACTTATAATATACTATTGCGGGTATTTAAACCCATCGAACAAAGCTCGCCATGAGACATTTTCTTGAAAAATGTTCCACGTTTTCAAACCCTCGATGAGCTTCAAAGCTATATTTACGAGAAATAAAAGACAGAAACTGGTGTTGGATATGATTCATATGATTTGTATGGGATATTATGAGGAACCGAGTATTCACCGTTGCACTACACTCAACGAGGTACATCTTGGCGAGCCTATATTGAATAACTGAAAATGAATATACAATTAGGTATGGCAATCCCGAGTTTCTTTGCAGGCTTGACAGTGGACTGTGTCCTGGCGACGACAAGGTTTATTGAACTACGTGATTTCAACAGTATTACCTGTCTATTGGGTCAACCAAAAGACCTCCTCGTCAATGTTGTACAGAAGACAGATATATAGGAATACTTGCAAATGTCATGTTTGCAATCAATTGCCTTTATTTATGAGCTATCTCAAAGTCGGTGTGTTTTTTTTTTACTCTAAGACGCTAAGCAAGGGCAGACGAACTAGTATGCAGCCTGAGAGAGTCACATGAATTCGTGTYACTCTTGCAATGTGGTGCATCATAATTACAGTTATTTGTTATCATTTTGGAAACGATTTAAAAAAATGTTATCTCTTCTTTTCTTGATCTTTTTTTTCTTTTTGACTGCAAAAAGGCCAGCCAAGAAGTGCATTATCAATGTTGTAGTATAGTCCCATGTGTAGAWATATTGCCAGCATCGTCATGGTTTGGAATCATCTCTTATCATTTTGTAAACGATTGAAACACTCTGTTAATGACAACAATTAGCTAAACCAAGAACCGCATGCATGGAAATACTGCTAGAATTATCCAATTTGGAATCATTTGTTGACCATTTTAAAGTTGGTGTAGTTMATTGTAAGCGCAGTCCTCTTATTTATTTTCATTTGCATGRTAACGGGATTTCTTTGTATTTCTGAGTCCTTTTTAAATGAACTGCTTGATTTGATGTACGGAAAATAGTGTACCATTCTTGTCAATCATAATATTGATAATCTTCCTTTGATTGGTCCAAAGTCTGAACTGTATTGCCGCAAAGATGGCAATTGTAGACAGRATAAAAGCTAGAACTGCTTGCCAGGGTCGTTGTCCGGGTTTCTGCTCATTCAAAAACTGCATCACTTTGTTCCACGACTCTTCTCTCTCGACCGTCCTCTGCCTGCTCACATTTCTCAGAAGTCTATTCCAGATATAATCACAGTCAACATTTCCAATCGATAGTATTGGACCAAATAAAAATGCCAGTAAGAGAAAAGCATGCTGGTATTGAAAGGGYACCAAGGGAATCTCGGTAGTTATCCAAACATGCAGTTCCAGTAGKATGCAAATTGTGGATAAGATAAGATTCAATGCAATCCAGCCAGAGGAAAATTCACGGAATATATGGAAAGCATCGAAAGACTCTGCCAGCCTTGCTCGGCAAAGGTCAACATCTTCAATGTTYTGTTTTAAAAACTTAGTTACAAGGCCGACCTCTGACACATAGCTGCATCTCAGCAAGTAGATTATGAAACAGAATCCAACAAAATTAATGTAGCCTTCTATCGTGATGAAAATGGTCAATGGAAACGATGTATGAATTCCATCGTAGGTATGATTGGTGGCAATAGCTGTAACAAGGYTCTTGTCAAAAAATGGGGAACATAGTCGTACAAGTTCAACCGCCATTAGAGCTAATCCTATAATAAAGGCTACATATCCACCATATTTCTTTCTCTTCATATCTATGAATCTAAGTCTACAGATGAGGAACTCTACATCAACTGCACGAGACCACTGACCAGGAATAATGTATGGAAAAGCATGATGCATCGTGSATATCAAACAGGCCATTGGTGCAATAAACAGCAAGAGTGTTGACCCAATCCAGGACAAAGTGTGTACTATATCCWGGTCAGTGTCCAGGAAATGACTGGAAATGATTGCAACATTTGCAATGGTAGCACCAGTTATAATGAGTAGCCACASCCAGGAGAGAAAGCCGCTTCCACAATGGTTAAACCAGGAAGAGCCAATATCTTTGTCMCGRATTTCAGTTGATACACCAAGGTGATTCCAGGAAAAACTGTCACATACCTTGCATATTTGCTCTTCTCCCTTTTCTTTGTTGATTGTGTAGGTATGGTAGTTTTCGTGTGTGTTACGACATTTGCAGCAACGAACAGGTTGAACTAAACGACCTGAAATTGAGAAAGAAGCGTCACGATGATGTTGCCTGCTACATGTATAGAAAAATATGCAATGAGTTATATGCAAATCAGCAGTCCGAAATGCGAAGCATATATGACAACTGTGTCTATGAAAGCTATCAAAGATAGATCAAGCCACCCTTGCAAATAAAACCAGAAGCAAGCTGTTTGGCACAATAAAATAGATCAGTAGCCTCATCAATATAAAAGCTTAGTAGGTATTGTGGAGCCAGAGTTAGAAGTAGTCCTTTCACTTTTTCATAATCCGCTAAAATAGTCCTTCCTTGAATTAATCAACCAATTAGAATATTCGAGTGAATCACTCGACAAATCAGAAATTTACCGGCCGTCATTTTGAATTTCGAATCGATAGCGAGGTCTAACAGATCTTCGCGCCCAGGCCCAGGTGTATTTTTTCGTGGAGTGAGGAATGGACGACAGAAGATTACCGATGAATTCCTGAGGATGAAATAGTCTTATAAATGACAAAAAAGTATTTGTGCCGTTTCTACGAATAAAACATGGTACACAACTATCGAATACCCCGCCACTCAAACCCTCACTTGTAGCCGCGGCTACGGCTACGGGTCAGATACACAGGTATACCAACATGTAAGAGTTACAAACTGAGAACGGAGGCAATCAGCCTAATACATCCCGAGGGCCGTAGGCCCGAGGGATGTATAGGCTGATTGCCGACGTTCGATGTATTTATCTGACTTATTTCATACTTGAAGAAGTTTTCCAAGCACTGCATTAATATTTTCATTTTTAAATAGGCAAAGAAGCCGTTTTCATATGAATTAAAAACCAAACCCTCGATTAGAAAGATTACGAAATTTACATTATTGACCATTCCCAACGGGAATAATTTGCATAACCAATTTTCTCGTTAGTCCCATGAGACAAATGCTAACAATAAACCTTTTGTAACAGTAACTGGACAATGTTAAATATCTGTTTTATTCCATAACTGACATCGATTAGTCAGTTAGCATAACGTGTTAAGTATAGGATTTTCAAAGCTAAGGTTGTGGGTTCGAATCTACTTKGTGTCATTTGAATTTTTCTTTCTTTCTTTCAAGTTTAAAGTTTCAAGTTTCAGACGGAAAATTTCTAAGTTGAACGTAGTAGTTAATTAGGTATTCAAGGGCAATATACATTAGTATTCAAGGGCAATATATAGATATATCCCTGAAACTTCGTTATAAAGCACTTGAATACRCAACGAGCTGGGGAATAAGCGAGATACAACACTATGAATAACAAAGAAAACTGAATCAAGTATGAAACAAGACGCTTGTCAGCGTGCACTCGGGGTTCTTTTTAGTGTAGTCTCTTGGTTTAATGATACATATAGAATATGTAGTTTCATTTATTCTTGCCGTGACCAAAAAATATAATAAATTCTCAGTCCAGTTGATAGCATAATAATTAAGACTTATATAATTTTGACTTGATAAATTTACCGCAATTATTGCAAAGAATAATAAATACTTTAATTATCAAATATAAAGTAAAACTAAAAACCTTCCTTGGATTGAAAATAGTAAAAAAAGAAAATGTATTAATATTGTTATTGTTGACCAAGAGTTGTCCTTACTTTGACAGACATTTGGTCCCGGATTTGGTCTAACGCAAACACCATTCGCTGATCCTTTGTTTGCAATCCTTCATTATTTCACCTGTACAGTTTTGTTGACAATCGGCACTTGAGTCTATTGTTCTTTCATAGTAGTTAGAGATTTGAATATCAGTAGCTTTTAAGATAGAAGGCCTGTAGTTTATGACTGGCTTTGGTCGGCTTTGGATAGATTAAAATGGCTTGCGTATCATAACTTAAGTCACAATAAGCTTGATTTATTCGCGGTATTTTTCAAAAAGCCCATTCCGAAAACGGTCGACATCCTTTAGTGTGGCTATACCGCGTGTGGATTTGTGAGTGATTTGAGCGTATTTTTTGAGAAGAAGAAATACCATAAGCCCATCGACGAAGAAGCTGATGCAATTAGCACTTGAAGCATGGGACGAGACAAGACAGGCTAGGAACGCCTGGCTAGTCTGGCCGCGATTTGGCGATGAATGCAAAAAAAAA